CTAGTGCGCGTCAAAAACAAAAAGAGAAAAAACAGGGCAGATCTGAAATCAATGGGAGAAAAGATTTACTCTTGGTAAGCGGAGAGAACGAAGACAGAGACGAAGAGAAGCCTTCCGACGAAAGAAATCAACGCCATTGCTGTGATGGTGCGGGCAGCTTCTGGAATGGTTTTAGTTTCTCTCTCTACAGGACTGCCTGCCGGGTTTGGGTTTCTCTCTAGAGATATAGGGGACAAGACAGAGAAAACAGATTCAAATCCTAGGACCACGGGAATTTGTATTGGACTTAAATAGAGGACTAATGGTAGACCAGTTTTATAATTATGCTTGGGAAAGGTAGAACCAGAAGAGTAATATTGTACTCCTCTTTTGATTGCCGGAAATTAGTACTACTACTAACTAGTACTTAATCATCTTTATTAGTTTTATATTATTTTATCTTCTACGCAATAAAAATTTTGTGTTGGTATTAAATAGTGAATGAACTTTTCAAATAAAAAGCAGTAAAAGAGGTCTGTAAGAAGTAAAAAAGTTATATAGTTTATGCGGATATATCGTAAAATAGTGTACTTAGTACAAGTTGTTACTACTACAACTTTTTACCGTGGTTTAATTTTTGAAATTCCTCCAAGCGAACTTTTGTATTGCCGCCTTAGCAGTTGAGTTTTTTTTTTTTTTTTCTTTTGTCTCTTTGGGTCTTGAAATTATACAAGGCGGAAGCCGGAAGCTAATGAGCCTATCAACATACATTGACAAGTTTGCCATTAGGGATTTAAATTTTCTTGCAATTAAAAAACTTCATCCCACATCAAATGCTGGTTCGCTCTTTCAAGATAAAAGTACGTCAAACCCATATGAAGTTTTATCATGAGCAAATATAGGTTCGATCAAGATTTGCTTCTCGTGTCAAAGGCAAGGATGGTATCATTATGAATATAAAGTCCTGAAATATGAAACCTCAGAAAGAGGCTGACCCAATTTAAATGAGATATAATAACTTCTTTATGGTCTAACATTCTTGCCAATACGCTGTCTTCATTTTGTTCTAAATTGTAATCTTTGAACGATTGTGAAGTAGACTATAGTTTAGGAGTTTCTTGTGAACCCCTTTAGATTGTTATTTTTTTAAGTTTTTATATAAAAATATATTATAACGATTTGATATATTTGAGATAAAAAAATGATTGAAAAATGTGTTTACGAAAAATGTAAAAAACTTTTTGAAAATGGCAATCCAAACTAGTGTAATATAGGTCTTACCATTTGTTTAAAAAAAATTACCGTACCTATCCTTGTGATTTACTTTGAATTGGACATCATGTTATCAAGATTAATCCAGACAGCAATTTCCTAAAGAAAATTTGCTATATTTTACGTGAATACATTTTTCAATCACTTTTTTTATCTCACATATATCAAATCGCTACGGTAGTTTTTTCTAAAAAAAAATCCAGAAAAATGCAATCCAAACAAGCATCTACTTTTCTACCCTTACATTTTTTGTTATTATAGTAGTGTTATAGGTTGAAGTTGATCGGGGACACGTCGTGCGGACCAATCACAAGCTCACAATGCATTGACAAAATCTACTAGGCGCGGACGTGGCAGCATATTTTTCTGATTTCGTAAATGGAAATTTTTCATTTTTTTTCAACATTACTGTGTTGGATGGCATATTATTCTTTAGCCTTACGGCAAATTATTAATTGCAACTATACATAATTGGTTTTCGACATTCTACAGAATTTGCATGAAAAGAAGACATCTTTCCGAAGATAATTGAATATGTTGTCCTAATAGCTTTCCTTCCTTGAATTACGCAGCTTTATACCACCAATCAATCACGAAGAGTAAATGATAAGCTTTTACTACCAGGGGCCCGTTTGCAAATGAGTTTTTTTTTTTGTCTAATATTTTACAATAATTTACCATCGAAGTTGTAGGAAAAATTTTTGAAGTGTATAATTTAAAAATTTTAATAAATTTTTTGATATTTCTATAATTAAAATTATTAAAAAACTTGTAACAGACAAACTTGACAAAAAACTTGCTTGCCAAACATGGGTTTTAAACGAATGCATTGCACTACAATTTTTCCTTTTTTCTTGTCTTTGAAGAATTGCATAAACTTCATAAATAATTTTTCAATCATTTCTCATTTGTTGCTATACTTATGAGTGTTTACCGTTTGTATAATTAGGCTACAACCCCACGAGTTTTCATTTGTCCAACGTTGAATATGAACAACTTCATTTTAACCAGTTAAAGTTAAAGACAAGAGTTTAACTGTAATGGAATAGGTTTAATTGTAATCAAGGGTCACTGAGTAGAGTGGTAACACTCTCATTATGCCACCCTAGGTGTTAATAAAGCGTAATATACTGAGTAGAGTGGTAACACTCTCAAGGCCTTGTTTGGATTGCTTGTTTTCGTCGGAAAATATTGTCGTTTTCTGTGATCACATTTCCCTATCACCTTTTTCCCTCACATATATCAAATCGCTACAGTAATTTTGCAATTGTAAATTGATAAAACGCTTGACTTGCAATTGTAAATTGAAATAATAAATGTCATATGCAAGCACGCAGTTTTATAACCTTTTCTTCCACTTTATTCCTTTCCCTGATCTAATGCATGCCAGGGAATCACATGTTTATTGGCTAATTATTCCTATCATTACTACTTTGTTTTCTGCAAATAACAGAGTACAGCTCAATTTGAAGGAGATTGTTGGTGGATGAGATCTGCAATAATTACTTAATACAGTAGTATATGCAAAACAGCATATTTAAGAAATTCAAGACAAAGCTTCCAAGAAACTGCCACTATGTTCATGAGTCAATGCAGACCAATTGGGTGTAATATACATTTGTTCTGTTCCCAAACAAAAAAAAAAAAATTTGTTTGATGAAGGAGATAATCATGATTGTTTTTGGATAGAAGATTATTTGAAAATTTTTTTGCAATAATTATTTAAAGCCAACTTTTGCTCTTTCAAAAGGAGCAACATAAAACTCCTTGTTTGGATTGTGTTTTTTCGTAAAAAAATTTTTTACATTTCCGTGAACATATTTTCTAATCATTTTTTTACCTTATATATATCAAATAATTATAGTATTTTTTTATAGAAATTTCTAAAAATAACAATCCAAACAGTATAGAACTCAAATAGTGGGTACCTAATAAGTATGAAAAATGAACTTGATGTATAATAATATTACATGTTCGAACAACTTTTCTAGGCAAAACGACAAATTTAACCAAAATGCACGGGTCAAAGTATATTTCCGAGTATAAAATGACATGTTTGAACAATGACTTGGGTTTTTGTTGTATTTTATCTTTTTGAAAAGTAATAGTAGCTAGTCAACTATTGATTTAGTTTATTTGCTTGTATTATCAATATATTTTTCAACTATCTTTTTTATTTTATATACATTGCATCAAAAAATTAGTATAGTATTTTTTCAAAAAATTAGTTAACTCAATTGCTTATGAATACCCCAGTTTTCTATAGCAACAAAAAGTAGTAATCTGGATAGGAGTTTGTTTGGATGATTTATTTGAGATAATTAATGTTGCACCTTTTATAATGTGATGTATGTGAAATAAAAAGATGATTGAGAATATAAAAAGGTGATTGAAATTTGTGAAACAAATTATTTTTTTTTTCAAATCATTTCAATCCAAACACACTCATTAACCCAAATGACAAAATAGAAAAAGAAATGCCATTTGTCGTTTGTGGAAGATGGAACGCATGTGGAAACAGCAGTAAACGACGGTGACTAAGTTTGAAGTTTACAAAATAAATACACAGTCAATCTTGTCGTCTAAGGTTGGTTTGTTGTAGTCTAATCTAACCTCTAAACTTTTTCTTTTTCCTGTTTTCGTACCACATTTTGTCAAAAAAGTTATCCTGCATTTGCCAATAAAATAATTGGAATGTTCGCTGCCCGAAAAGAAAGAAAGAGCATGAAAAGGCATTGGTCATGGAATGCGCATAAAATAGTACAAGCACGCTTTAAATTTGTACACAACATAACTAGCATCACCTTTTATCAGTGTGCTTGGGGTATAAAATAGAAGAAATTATATAATTTCATCATGCTCTTAACAAGTACCCCGAGCCTTGTTCTCGTTTGCTTTAGATTTTGTAAAATCTGATTATGAAAAGTGATTACAGAGGATAATCAGACTAAACAAAACTACTTTTTGAGTGATTATAGATTTTAATTTTTTTAGTTATTAAAAATGTAATTATGAATTTTGCATTATCGAAATAATCTATAATCAATTAAGATAAATCAGCGAATAACAAGCCTATGTAATATACCAAAAGATCTAGTACTATTGTTTTAAGCCCTTTGTTTTTGAATCCCCCGCCCATAATGCACGCATATTATCTCTCTCAAACCAAAAAATCCAGTTGGGCAAAATTCTTGATCGGTTCCTCTTCCCCTGCTATGCTGCTAGCAGTATTGGCTCCGTTTGGCAAGTGAATTTTTTGAGTGTTTGTCTAAAATTTTACTGTAACTTACTGTAGAAGCTTTTAAAATTTTTTTTGAAATGTGTAAATTTTTGAATATTTTGAAGTGTATAGCTTAAAAACTTTGACAAATTTTTTGAGATTACTGTAGCTAAAGTTATAAAAAAAACTTGTAGCAAATAAATTTGACAAAAAGCTTGTCTGCCAAACAAGGCCATATTTATTGTCCAACCTTGGTCCAATGGCCGCCTGCTTTCCCATGCATTAGATTAAAGGTTGAAACCATGCCTAGTGAAGCATACAAGAAATATGCTGGTGTGTTTTCTGTAGAAAGTGCAGTAATGCTCGTTTGATTTAGTGGTCAAGAAATATGCGTGTTTTCTGTAGAAAGTACAGTAATGTACTTGTTGTTTGATCTGGTGGGTTGTCTTAATCCTGTACAAGTCTTTTTAGACTCATTTCTCCTCTAAAGTAGAAACAAGAGTAAAAGTAAGTGTAAATTAGATTGTTGACATGACAAATTAAAGAAGAAAAACCCAAAAAAGAACAACAATGGTACTGTTCCCATAATCCCCATAGGCATTACTTCAGAGCTCCCTACCCAAGAAACCACACACGATCAATTTCATCAACTTCAAAGTCGAAAGACTCCACCAACCAAAATTCAATTTCCTCACAATCCCCAAGAGGCAGACAAGTAGAGAAACAGAGCGAGACCAAACCCACCAGATTTGCTCTCGCTCTCTCTATCCATTCCCGCCTCTTATTACTTCTCTCTGTCCCTGTTTTCTGAAGCAAAATTTTGAGCCCATACGAGCTTGAAAAATTACTGTAAGGGTCAGTCAGCAAAAAAGAACAAAATATGGGGTTCTTTTCTTTCTTGGGAAGAGTGCTTTTTGCCTCCATCTTCATCCTCGCTGCTTGGCAAATGTATGTTTCTACTGCATCTCATCAAAGTTTTAATCTTGTAGATCTGTTGAATGAGTAGTCTTTGTGAAGTAGTGGAAGTAATTCATTTTTCCTTAGAACTGTTAGTTTGTTTTGTGTGTTGTTAGATCTAGCTTAATATGTTTGTTGATTAGTACGAATGATGCATTTGCAATTTTGCATAAACCCATACTGCACTTTTGGTGTATGCCCTAAGCAGTTCGATAATCATAATAGATGGATAATTTTGGTATGATGTATTCACTTTGGTTACTTGCTCACTTGGGTTGCCGCTCGGGGGGTGGGGGTGAAGTTAAGCTATTGCTTGGGAGCACCTCAAAGGTAGTAGAGTCACGCGGATTCTGGGATTTCTCTATGATTGGAAGTCAAGTGATCCATTTTTGAATATGTGTCACATCCTTTTTCTTCTTGATGTAAAGTTTGAATATGTAGAGTTTGTTGGGTGAGATGTCTTGGTCGACTTTTCTTGTGGTGCTTATATTTCCTCTCTGCAAGCAAAATTTCATAGATTGGCTGGTTTTGACTGGGTCGTGCATTTGAATGCTATCTAGCTTAGCCTCTAGTTGTTGAATTGACTCATTAGCTTAAGTTTTGATGTCAGTGCCTAATTAATTAGTATCAGCGTTCTGATTGGGAAGGTATGACCCCACCTACCTCCTTGGTTATTTTGTCTTTTGTTTGATGTACTTATGGAACAGTGGATTTACTTTAAATCTGTTTGTCTAAATTTTGAAATAAGGTGGGTAAAGAACAAGGCTATTAGATCAGTTCTGATTGGTTTTGTGTCAAGTGTTGGAAAGCTTGGTCTTGCATTCCAGTTTTAATTGCTAAATCATGGACAGTATCTAACTTCTTCAGCTTTTTACCTTTGACCTTTTTTTGTGCATATTTTTTGCTAATGCTCAGTGTCGTTGCATCTTTCTGGAGCCAATGCACCATAAGATTGTAGACTGAAGCAGCTAAGATATTTTGGCAAATGTTGCCTCTGTTACATAGTAGAGAGAAACGAAGAAGAAAAATTCTTCCAAACGTCACTCATGATATTTGTGCCCAGTACATTCTGATACGATGATAATGTTACTATGTATGCCTGATATCATGCTAACGAATTACTAGTTGGCCAATTATTGCAACTGAACATTCGATAGAAGAGTTGTATTTGCCACAATGATTTAGCTACTCTAGTTGAACTGTTTTGCTATGTTAAGAAATCATATAAAGATCTGCACCGGAGAGTTCATGCAGATTTTGAGTATGAATTTTTATCTACATAAGATTTTAATGAGATAATATACTGGATTGGTATTATGCATCTTCAGTTCCAACACTATGTGTAAGTCCTCCTTTCCTAGAGTACTTAAAGTTATGTGGATCACTGCATTTATCCATTTCTATTAAGTATGGCATTTTGGCCATGTTAAACAGTTTGAAGGCTTTGAGGGGATGCACTTAATTATTCCTTTTCGAAGAAGCTATTGCGAAAATGACGAACACAATGTTGGGGTTTTCCAATTTGCTTTCAGTGCATGAATGACAAAGACCATTAGAGTGAGGAGTATGCTTGCTGATGCCTTGTGGATTCAATGATAGCTTTTGCCCCTAAACATTGTGAATATAATGTAGCGGAGAGTACATTACATGTATCATGAATAATAACATAGGACTAGTAATTTAGTATCTCACAAAGTTGAGAGTGCTCGTTGTTTTCAAGTTTTTGAAAGTAATGTAATTGATATATGTTTGGCAGATGAGATAATTTTTGGCAGGGTCATGCTTTCACGGAGGTTTCACTTGTCTTAGCCATTGAAATTTGACCAATTTAGTATTCCAGTTGTCTTAGATTTTTATCATGTATTTTATAACCAGTTTAGAAGTTGAACCTTCTTTTTCCGGTGTTGTGGCCTGAAGGGGTATCTAATCTGTGTTTTGTTTCCTAATTTTATTACAAAACATTAGATTCGTTCCGTATGACTGGTTTTAACAGTTTTGTTTGCTATTTTCTTAGCTGATGGTTTTATTTGGTTGACAAATCACCCACTCCTTTTGCGAATAATTTATAGGTAGGCTGTATATAAAGAAGCATATTTTAAGTTAGAGAGGTGAAGTTTGTCCCTTTTTTCTTTTTCTGTCTTTTTATGCTTTCAGGTGTTTGATGGTTCATTTGGTTGCTACCATAACCGGTATCGAACGTTGGATATTGCATTGACTTCCAATGGGACTCATTATTGCATTGCCCAAATGGGTTTATAATATAGCTTGTTTCACTTTATGTTGTTCCAAGGAAGTTTTAATAGTCATTCACTTTATACTTTTTGAGGGAATTTACAGAAGGTTTCTATCAGTTTTTAGGTCAATTTTGATTAAGAACTGGCTGTGAGCAAATTCCTAGTTTTGCCAACTTATAAGGTTGTGCGGATGTATTACTTGTACAAAAGCTCTGTCTTAAAAACTATTTAGATGCATCTTTCAACCGTATCATTGAACTTATTGTCACGTAGCATTAGAACTCTGTGTTGCAAAATCTCAGTACCCGTATATTGTCGTAGGTTCAATGAATTTGGTGATGATGGAGGGCCTGCAGCCAGGGCGTGGGCTCCTAAATTGGTTCCCATCCAGAAGTTTCTGAAATCAAAGTTTGGAGAAGGGGGGCCAAATATTGATGTAAGGATGTGGTTCTGTTTGTTAATTACTCTGTGATTGAGGTGACATATTCTATTTTTAGCATGTTATTGTAATGGACGTTTTTGCCACCATAATGTTGGGGGGGTGCTCTATGCAGGTTAGGCATTTTGTTGCTGGATCAATTGCTCTGAAGGGGTTGGGAGGCTTGCTATTTGTGTTTGGTAGCAAAATGGGCGCTTACCTACTGGTTTGAACTTCCGTTTCAGTTTAATGTTTTTGAATTTTTATTTCTTTGCTGTTCAGCAGGTGATGTATAGAATCACAGATGCTGACCTTATGAAGCAATTTTCCAATTGGTTCTTGGTTTCTTGCTAAAATTCAGATGTATCACTTGCTGTACACCACTCCACTGTACTATGACTTCTACAACTATGAATTTGGTGGACCAGAATTTTTCAGTCATCTGCAGGATTTTTTGCAGGTTCACCTTCCTTGTGGTTTCATAGGTTTTTAATTGTTATTATTATTTTCCGTGAATAGAGTTTTGGTTAATATGATGATTTGCATTGTTTGGCAGTGCGTGGCTCTTTTTGGAGCCTTGCTATTTTTCCTTGGGATGAAGAACTCAATTTTGAGGAAGCAGCTCAAGAAAAAGACCCCCAAACCAAAGACAGCTTAGCCTTATCTGAGCAGAAGTTGCAGAGGATTAGACAGTTCCCAGGGATCTTTACAATGGATTTTTTTTTTTGGCTTTTGGGGGTTCTTGAGAATTTTCTTTGATCTTCCACTGTAGTTGGCCATCTCCTCCTTTTTTTTTTTTTGAATACACTCTTTAAACTAGACGCATTGCTGAGACCAACCACCCTTAGCGGGTGAGAGATATTAGAGCAAAGTTCAGAAGGTCATGGATTACAACATTTGATGTTTTTCCTGTATTAGTAAGAAATGCATTTTTGTGATGAAATTCTTGCTCCTATTCGATAGTACATTTTATTATTCGATGATAAGCTTGGTAAACTCGTCCCTTTTTTTCTGGTTGATGATTGACTCAGCTACAAAAACAGACGACGAACCATCAATTTAGAGTCCTTTGTCATCAGATGCAAAATACTACTACTGTAAATGTAGGCTTTATCATAAATTATCTTCACCCTTCCCTACAGTTGGGTAAAACCAAATTTAGCCATTTTCTGACACAAGTTTATAAGTTATAAAATCAACCATTTGACCTTTCTCGTTAAGAAAGAAAAAAGATATTCATTTAGAAAAACTTTCTAATCTACGGTTAATACTAGTGCTCAATGCACACCCAATGTGTGTGCAATAATAATAAAAAAAAAACATAATATCTATGGCTATATATTTTAAATAAAATTTTTATTACTGAAACAAACTTTAATCTTTTAAATGTTTTTCATAAAATAATTTTATATTTGTAGTTACAATATTTAGGGATAGTTATGTTGAAAAAACATATACTTAAATTGTTAAAAGTAAAAATAGTTATGGATGGTTATTAGTAGTTAAAATAAAAATAGTTTTTTTAAGGGTAAACTAGAAAGTTCATAAAGTGACGATAAATGTTAATTTCAATGTTAACTTCAAATCCCTTTGTCAACCTTTATATATAGTATAGATAGATATTAAAATTGTTAATGCAACAAAAAGAAAATGAAAAATCATACACAACCTGTTAGCCTAGTAGAATTTAAGACGACAAGTCAATTCCCATCTACCAAAGAAGTTTCGTCTGAAGTTTTGATGACAAAATGCAATTCATTTTTAAGTTGATGAAATTACATGTTACATTATTCATTTCTTTGTTTATTTATGTACCTTTTGCGCCCATAATGTGCGTAGGTTTTCTTGCCGTTGATTGTCCTCCTTTTCTGATTTTAATTTGAAGACTTCAGTTCCAAGGTCGAAGTTCCAAAGCTTAAAAGACCACAACAAAGCCAACCCACGAAGGAAAAACTTTTTCTTTTCTAGGAGTATTATTCGGCTCTCTCTGCTGACTGCTCTGAGCCCTCCCAACTCGTTGCTTCCCAATGGTAGACACTTGCTGTCACTTTCTCTATCACTCTGTTTCACACACACTCGCACAGTAATTATCTCGAACGAAAATAGTTTAAAGTTGTGAACTTTTTTATTTTATTGTGTTTGTTAATTTTGCAGGATTATCTGAAAACAATAGTTCCTTCTCAATTTCTTGCTGAACGTGGCTCCAATCTTGTTGTCATCAATCCAGGTCCCTCTCAACTCCCACCTTACTACTAATCTTTTAGCCAACAATTGTGTATGCCAATTTTCAGCATATAAAGTTTTAGTTGTATTCTTACTTTTTTCTTGGTGATTGGTGAAATTTGATTAATCTGTGAAGTGGGATTCTTGAATTGTTTAGGTTCTGCAAATATAAGAATAGGATTAGCTCGACAAGACGCCCCGTTGAACGTCCCTCATTGTATTGCTAGAAGAACCACTGGTGCCAATCAATTCCCTAAGAAAAATGTTCTAGACCAGGTTTACTTTTCATTCTTTGGTTAATTTTAACTTATTCTTTATGTGCTTGGAGAAAATTTTCCTTTGCTGATGAAACTGTTCGTCTCTTTTCCTTCTCCACCCCCTTCTTTTAATGGGGGCCCTTGTGATTTTATGTGTTTCAGGGACTTAATTCTCAGGTTACCACAGCGCAACACATGGAACGTGAGAAAGCATATGATATTGTGAGTTTAGAGGAGTTGAAGCTTTTCTCAAGTATGGATTTTAGTTTGATTTTTAAAATGAAAAATGGTTCTTTTTTTTGCCAGATTGCATCCCTGTTGAAAATTCCATTCTTGGATGAAGAGGTTACAAACAATGCATTCCCCAGAAAGGTAGAATTGGTCTCTTGCTGCTTTCGTCTTCTTCTTTTTTTAATTGTAGGAGCTAAACCAAATCTGTAATATATTGCAGAAGTAGATGATCTTAGCTTTATTATTCTAGCTGGCATGGTTGAATGCACATTTATCGAGTTTTCTATGTTTTGTTTCGGTAAAATTGACTGCTATGCAGATGGGTCGTATCGATGTATACCCTCCTCAAACTAACAAGAAAGAGACAGCCTTCAGTTGGACTGATGTATATGAGAAGACAATTCCATCGTCTGCATCTGGTATGTTGCTAGTGTTGGAAGCAATCAAAATTTGTAATCCTATCCTCATCTTGAATATATGAGCTTGTGACATTGAATCTCATGTCTTTTCTGATCGAAGTATCACTAGATACATGTTAGGGCTTGGGATGTCAACTCACAGCCATATCAAGTTCTTTTTACTTGTCCATGGTCATGATCCAGGACTTTCTTTTTGGTTGGTTTCAAAGAGTTTTACAAATTAGTTGTATGTCATGCCACTTACTTCCGAGAGTCAGAAATGAATCTGGTCAATCGAACGTAACCCAACTGTGGTATTGTAGGAGGTTTAGACCTTTTTACTCTGCTTTAGTCCAGCGTAAGCCAACTTATTTGAAAGATTTGGATTTCAATGATGTGTGGTCTTTCTTCTCCTATAATTCGAGTACCGCCCATCGGAGCACCCTTTATAAGCTATTCATATTGGACTTCGTTTCTTATTATGATTTTCAGTTGCATAAAATTAATGAAAATTCGGTTAAAATGTTACATCAACATTCAAGTTGCAGAATTCTATTTTGATGTAACAGAAGACCCACTGAGAAATGACCAAAATGATGAGTCCTCTGTTGAGAAGGAAGGTCACGATTATAGAGAGAACAATTCAAGTGAACCAAGATATAGGGAGTGCATTTTTGGTGAGGAAGCTCTGAGAATATCTCCAACTGAACCATATTGCTTACGGCGTCCTATCCGCAGGGGTCATCTTAACATCTCTCAATATTATCCTATGCAGCAGGTACAATCTTAATTACGTACGAAGTTGTTGAAAAGAAAATTTTTTTTGGGGCTCTTGCTGTAATCTGAAATCGTCATTTGTAGCATAAGTTTATTGAATCATAATGCATTTTATATTTAAGTAAAATAAGAGTTTTTTTTTTTATAAGCCAGGGTCTGTATTCTGCTTCTCTATTTTTGACTTCTCTCTGCTCATCTTGCAGGTATTAGAAGACTTGCATGTAATTTGGGATTGGATTTTGACTGAGAAACTTCATATCCCCTTGAGTGAAAGGACTATGTTCTCTGCTATTCTTGTTCTTCCTGAGACATTTGACAATCGTGGTAACTATGAGCTCCTGTTTTTTGTTCCAGATGCCGGATTTTAGTCAAGTGACTAATTATTGTTTCTTGTTTGCCTAATCTGTCAACGTTGAAACTTAGTAATTTTATTTTACTGGTTGGTGTTTAAGAAAGGTTATAATTGGATCATGAGCCACAGAATTATTTTTTTCTTAAATAGCTGATGTTCAAATTGAGTAAACTAAGTCCATTACAACTTTTAGAGCTGTACTACAGTTGCATTGAGCTAAGATGTATTTATAGCACATACTCATCTGTACATTGTAGATTATACATAAAGTTACCAATTGTTTAAAACCAAGTAGCCACGCCCCAAGTTCTGTTGTGGTAGATATTACAGTTCTTTACCGTGACCAGTTTCCTGAGTTAAATTCCAGTACTACAGAAGCCTAGCTATGCATTGAAGTTTAAAGTTTTTTTCAGTGTTAATAGGATTTTTGGACAATACTGTAATGATGAATGTTTTTTATCTATCCCAGTGAATGACATGTATTTTTCAAAAATCTAAGCATTTAGAGCCTTGATGTGTAAATTGGACAGTGTACTCTAGGGTATTTTTATTTCATCTGTTAGAATCATTCACATGCTTGCTTATCCTTGTTGGCAAATACTTTTTCTTGATATTGTCTTGGAGTTTGGTAGTCAAGTCAATTTCTCGAGTCAATAGCCAAAATATAACTTTTGGTCAAAATATACAAGCCTGACTTGTCCAGTAGTTGGCATTATGAAGTTGACTTTCCTGCAGGAGGAATTAAGAAGGCCGTTAATCATGTCTAATTTGTTGAGTATCTGAATGTGATCTTACAAGCTAAAAGATAGTTCCAACTATCAAACATGGATTGCATTTCCTGGAAAGGATCACAATATACTAATGATAAATTCAAGAGATTGATGAGAAATGACACATTATAACTGAAAAAATTTGATGTACTTGAGAATTTTAGGAATGGATTTATACTAAAACGGAGCCTTTTCCATTTATTAATAGAAAAGTAAGCTTTTGTTTGGAAGACAATACTATATTTGTATATAAGCCCAACATATGGCCTTTAACTTTAGGAAATCTAGGTTTCTTTCCTTTTGCTTTCTGTGTGCTAACTCTATTTTATCCGTCAATTTAAAGATATAAGTAAACCAGGTGTTTCTTTGGGTTTATGAAAATGTAAATGGGAAACTTAACGTACTGGTTTTTTATTGTGACCAGCTTGACCGTTTGGATTTTTTGGATGTGCAGAAGTAAAGGAGATGCTGTCTATTGTCTTAAGAGATCTGCACTTCAGCTCAGCGGTAGTTCACCAGGTGGTTCTCTTCCGTCTTATAATTTTGAACTATCTCTAGGTTAAATTTAAGTGCTAGCATCAATTTAACCTTAATGTGATGTTACATTTTCATTTTGTCCTGTACCATATGCATTGAGTCTCTCCTTGTCAGAGATGGCTTATATCAAATTGATTCAGGAAGGTCTTGCTGCAGCTTTTGGAAATGGTATGTCAACAGCGTGCATCATAAATCTGGGTGCCCAGGTGACATCGGTAATATGTGTTGAGGTATATTCTATATATTTCTGAAATTCGGTTCTTTCAGTTAATGTTTTTATTAAGCTGTTTTACCTCATAATGCAAAATGATTTCTTGAAGTGTATCTGGGGTGTAAGTTGGAAGACTCCAATAATTGGTCAATGGAAGGAAAAAAGACTTTCAAACAAATATCATTCTAGAGGAATTGAATCTGGATCTT